TACCTAGACACAGGAGAACTATTGTCGTGAAAGTGTTGTACAATCGATTACAAATTTAGATTGCAGAGAGTTTGTTCTGAGCGCTAAAAGCACTCACGATAGAGCACATTTTGCTTTATTCTAACATCCAGTAAAGGTTTGGGAAATTTGAGTTTTCGTGCAAGGCTTTTGCTTTGCCCATTCCATGTAGATAACAAGTCTTTTAGAATAGTTATTTCCTGTAGAGATGATTATTTCATATTAGACGGATTGGTGATCGCTATGGTTAGTGCCTATGCATGACGACTTGATGGGTCGCATGCTGGCACGGCTGGTTGGCAATGATGGCTTGATGGGCCACAATGTTGTCAATCGGTTTGGACGAAGACAAGCAGTCTGATGTCCGCCAGAACCGATTTCCAACAGCAAGATTATGCCTTGTCGAGGAAAATCTTCATTGAGTTGTTGAGGCACTTGGAGGACGATTGGAACGGGGCCCATGAAAATCCAATTGAGAGGGATGGAGTCGCATAGTTTGCAGGAGTTTTAATTATCGGGTTTCTGTTGGGACTAAGAGGGGAAGAGATCGTGAAGACTGATATATCGGGTTTATTGAAGTACATTGACGTGGGAGCGCTTGACCCAGATCACCCTCACATGATCATCCCACTCATTGGAAGACTCAAGGGAGAGACCGGAGAGCGGTATCACATGCTACCTATGGCAAGGGTAACTCGAAGCGGAATCATGGCTGGGAAGTGGATGGATCGATTATGCAGGTCTTTGATGAGACAGGATAGGAGGAATGGCTTTGTGTTCGTCGGAAAGGACGGAAACCCAAAGAAGATTAGAGAATACAATGAGGAGTTGTATGAACGCTTAAGGAGAGTTAGAGTGGAGAAGTGGTTTTTGTTTGAACCGGAAATTGATATCTCGGACGAATATGGTCTTAGAAGATCGTTTCGAAGAGGTTGGAACACGGAGGCAAGAAATCGGAAGGTCAGTCAGCCAGTGATTGATATGAATAATAGATGGAGAAAGTGGGAAGGATCAAAGGGCTGACAACCGGCCATGGAGATGTCAGCGCATTATACGGAGATAGTAGGCTACAATGGCCATGTAAAATCGCCGTACCAGTATGTTGGACCAAGAAAAGTAGATCCAAAAGTAGGTTCAGATCATGGTAATCTAGTAGTAAGATTCAATATTGAGCCACTGGTACTAGCCTCACAAGTAGGACCGGAAGTACAGTTCAATATTTGTTGATCAGAAAAGTACAAATGGATGACTCATATCTAGTAATGGGCTAAAGTGTATTTTTAAGAACGGATCTCGTTTTACCAGAAGTCAATTTAAAAGTAGGTCCTGGTCATGGTAATCTAATAGGACCAAATATTGGGCCCTTAAATTGGAAGTACGCCAATGGTAGCCAGCTAGTTTCAGAAGCTAAGATGTATGACCAGAGGTTTGATTGCCAAGGGTAGATCAGGAAGTATGTTGCAATCTTGGTAATTTAGTACTAGACTTTGAGGTCGGGCAATGGGCGGTATCCAAGCTTCATACTAGTCAGTACTCAAAATATGGTCGATGTTGGTTGGCTAGAACACTGGGGCGATCTCTACTTAGATCAAGACAAGTCTATGGGCACCACACACAATGGCATTGGAAGACTAGGCTAATGTTGCTTTCATGCATGTCAGGTAGTGAGAGTAGGCAGCATAACAGAATGGACCTGGATCGCTTTCTTCCTAGCAGCAGCTTGACCTTTCGGGCAACCAGATGCATATGCATGGATCCCATTTGCAGACTGACGCAGCAAAGGTTCAAGAAGGTGAACAATGTCTGGGGTCGGCTGCTACTCAAAGTAGCTACAATCCAGAAGAACTTGCAGTAGCATCAACAATAAATGCTGGTTCCGCAGAATCAAAAATGATGGTGATGACACATGAGGAAAAGAAAAGGAGGATGGTAGAATTGCATTCCGCAGCAACAATGTTTTGTTGCGATGCTTCATTTTTTGCCGTACATTCTCAGGAAGAAATGCCTGAGAAAATGAAGTTTTTTCTGTTTGGGGTCTTAGAGGACAATAACAAATACAGCAGCATTGAGAGAGACATTAAGATAAGTCGTGGCCAAAGATTGCTATTGTTTTGGTTCAGGGAACAATCATAGTCCTGACTTAATGGAAGAAGTAGTTTTGTGCAACGTGAGGCTCGTAGAAGCCATTTGCGGGTGCATCCCCCCGTCCTGCAGCCACATGGCTTCTCGCAAGTGTTAGGGATTTGTTGCCAAAGTAAATGGTCATATCTTGCTGTTCTAGGATATTTGCCAATGTCATGTCTGGAAAGATCTGCTGTTCAAGAGCTTCCAGAATATCCTGAACGGTGACGTAACAGCTGAGCACTTGGATTTTTGGCGGCGTGATGTCCCCAGCGTACTCCAAAGGAAGAGGATAGCAGCATTTGATATGTGTGACAGATTGGAGCTTCTGCCCAACCTTTTTGACCCAAGTTTCAAGAATCTGCCCAGTCCACTGTCTTGCACGGAATCCCACTAGGCACGGCCATTCTCTTGTTGCTAAGCCTCCCATTCTGTTGCAATTCAGTGGCTGCATTGGATTGTTCTCTTTGCATAGTTTAGCCACAATGTGCACATTACAGTCCCTGCAGAAATGCTCCCACGCCCCTGGGTGATCCTGAAGAGCTTGCAGGACATAATGGATGGGAGGCGAACAATCATCGTTCTTTGGTAGGTAGAACATGATGATTGCAATGTGGGGCTGAATTCTGGCAGTCAAGATGCAATTGGGTGCAACTAGCTTGTCCTCACCGATCATTTTCACAGTCACCATTGGAAGGGACTCCTTCTTGTGTCCAGGGCACAGGAGACCCCAGCATTTGAACCAACTAAAGCAGGCAGGTGCATTGGAAATTCCGGACAAGACTGGTACTGGAACAATATCCGTTGACCCATGGAAAGTTGTGTCACACTATATATCTGAACCGCAGGATTGTACACACCACTTGCATCCAGAACTCGTATCAGCCCATGCAGTAGGAGAAGAGACAATAGAACATACCCATTTTTATCCATGATGCAGCAAGGCTTTGCAAAAACCTACATGCTACAAGTACTCAATTGCAAACGGAATAGATTTTGGCCACTACAGCAGGCTCAAAGGTTTGACAGCATTGCACTTACATGAGCAGTTAATTGTATCAAAAAATAGGCTATATTCTGCAACGATTAAAGTATTCCCAAATGGACAAGGCTTTCAACAAACACCTGGCAGGAACTCCATGAGAGGGAACCAAATTCTTTTCTCTCATGATTCTGTTGAGAAGGTCAGTCATGTTTTGGTTTCTAAGGAGGATTTTGACGATATTACGAAGGTTCACTTCTACAATGAGAAAGGCAGAGACAATGCGTTGGCTTGGAAAACTTACGGAACATCCAAGCTATACGATTGTAGCAGCGTACTGCAACAATTGTTTGCAGTCCTTGGCCGGTTGAGTCCATACTATAGCCATATCAGACAGGATTCAATTGATAACTTGGTTGAAAAAGTTGAGCAGAGTGTCAGGGAGAAGAAGGACAATGCAATATTCATCAGTGACAAGCAGAGTCTTCTGCATGAAAAACGTCTTGGCTCTGATGTTGGTGGTGTCCATCAGGTGGACTCCATGTCAGATAATTACCATGATTACTTTGGAGGAGCATCGACATCACAAATTGAGGGTTCCAGCCATCCAAGTAGCAATGAGGATCTCCCTCTTAAGACGCATTATGTCAGCAAGTTGAGAATGATGCTATTCAAAACATGATGAAAAGTGTTGATGAAAGCGGGATTGTGAGCCAGCATCAAATGGAGTCAGACGATGTTGTACGGGGATGGTTTGGAGAACATGAATCAGAAGGAAGAGACAGGCATAGCAACTCTTTTGTCATATCACATTGATGTCAAGACCCAATCAATGAGTTCTTGCCAGATGATGACGATGCTGGCGTGTATCTTTCCATGGCTGTTCCCTATCAGAAAAGCTTATGGAAGACGTTCTGGTAACCTCAATGGCGAGGAGTTGAACCATTTGCTGAAACAGTTTAGTATGATTTATGGTCAGGGCAGACGAATGTTGGATTTGCAGTCATAAAAAGTGCAAGCCGCAAATGTTGAAAACCAGATAAGGCTCGTGTGCTGGCCGTTTTGGCATGCCAATTTTTGGAAATATGCTTGACTTTTCCACGACACAACAATACATTGCCATAATGTCAACTTGCCTTCCAAGTTTTTACTATGCTAGCAATCATAATAAAATGACTTAATATATCAACCAACGGACCGTCAAATAAGCCATGTGTCATTTGCACGTTCATTTCACAACCTGGACGTACAGAAAGAAGCCCAAGATATCACATTGAAATGGGTGTCAAAGATGGTGCTGCATATTGTCGTCCATCACAAGGCTTTACACACACAGTCAAGACGATTCGCACCTGCCTTAATGATAAATTTTCTGCAGGTGGTCCTCACAATCCTGTTGTCGGTGTCAATCTCTTGTGTTGGCTCATAGCTGCTCCTTTAAGCACAAGCCAGCTGTTCAACAATTCTTTATGGAAAGGAAGGTTCCAGTCACCCATGTTGTCAATTACGTTTTTAAGCATGTTGATCTTTTGATAAGAAATGGATTTGGTGTCCTGCTAATATTTGATGGAGCTTCAAATCCAACAAAGAAGGCAACCAACAATGATAGGAGTTCAGCCAGTCGTAACAGATGCCAAAGAATGGATCGAACGGATGTATTCCAATCCCAACAAAACCAATCTTCAAAAACTTTCTAAGCTACAACAAACTGCAGTGGATGGATGTGGTTTTTGTCCGTCTGTACTTGTGAAAATTTCATGAAATTTCATGTGCGGCGAAACAATTTGTCATCAGAATTTTTTAAAACAGCTTCACGTTCTGTTTTTTGGCCTGGAGACAGACAAACGTAGCAACACAGTTATCATAATTATACGAACGCCCTTTTTTCTAAATGTTACACAGTCTATAACCACTAACACTACATTTCGGGGAATTCTTTTCCCAAGACCAAACGGTTTTCGCGCCGTAGTTAGTCTACACGGGCCACGAATTTTGCGTGGTTTTCTTACAGCGCGACTCGTAGAAAGTGCGGACAACATAAAACTTTCTGGAATCGGTATTATACTTATACCGATTAAATTCTTTATGCGGGATTGTTTGCGGGATCGAAAATATCCGATATCAAGGTTCCAGATTCCGGATCGACATGCGCGGACTGCTTGCTCGACTGAGATCGCGTCAGTTCCGCGCAAAGCATTTTGCAGGATGGGCCGGTACCATACCTACCGAGACATCCACAATTTTCTCAGCACCGCACAGTTGCCCAATTTTGGACTTTTTCGAGAGTGCTGCAGATAGGCCGCTCCCTGGATTGCGCCATAACCGCCTTTCGATGTAAGTGTTTGAATGCCTTTTTGCAAAGCGACTGAAATTTAAAATAAATGTCTTGTGCGAAAACCGGAACCTATTCTGAAAATATATGCTGCGTATTGGAGGATGGTGCTGCATAAGAGTTGTTGACCCAATTCCTCTCATTGCTTCCGACATTAGTTCCTTCAGCGGACAGCCACAATGTCACATGGTACGACCCCAGTTTTCGGATGCACCAAGGGTAGTCCTACTACGAATGATGGCTGTCAAAGCACGTCCCACGATTGGAATATTGATCACAGCGCAGATTCAATGGATTTTGACTTGTTAACAGAGTACCTTGAGGATAATACGTCTGGAGCTCCGGCATCGTTTGAAATCGAGTGAGTCTACAGCGACAACTCTTCTCGACAGCATGAGAAGTCTCACATCTCGCGTTGCTTTTCTTCGCCTGGTCCTCATATGTTCACGTTCAGCTCCTCCTCGACTCTTCCAGCACAGAACATCGAAAGTGCCCCAATCGGAACTATGAATTACCGCAAGATGCAAGAATCGTCGGCTCGGTCAGATTCGGCGCGACGAAATATTCTAGTGCCACAGCCAGATGCGTCTCTATCAGCTTCCATCGCTTCGCGTCCTTCGATTGCAAATTCCGCTTTGCCAAAGCAGAATGACTGCCTGACAAAATCAACCACCCAACCACGATTGGAGTCCAACCCCGACTTTCCTACCCATAACCTTACGAAAAGGCAACGAACAGAAAATTCAAGTGTGTCGATTAATGCTACCCAGCTTGATGTAGCCTCTCAAGCTCCACAACCGCCTGATGCGATTGCTGGTCGTGGTCGAAAAAAGACTCAAGCCCAAATTGATCGGAGAAGGGAGCGAAATCGGATCCTTGCTCGACGCACTCGACTGCGCAAAAAGTTTTTCTTTGAATCACTTCAAAAGGAGGTGGTTGATTTGCAGCGGGAGAATGCTGCCCTTAAGGACATTGTTCGGTCGAAGCTAGACGAGAATGGGACCAAGATTCTGGAAGATTGCAGCGCAGCAGAAAGATTACCAGATGCAGTATTGGAAACATGTGGTGAGCACTCATCGGATATTGGGCAGCAAGATTTCAATTTGGTTAGAAGCATTCAGCAGTCCCAACATTCATTTGTGATTACTGATCCAAGTCTGCAGGACCACCCTATTGTATTTGCATCTGATGAATTCCTAAAGCTGACAGGATACTCCCGAGAAGAGGTTCTTGGCAGAAATTGCCGTTTCCTCCAGGGTGTTGACACTTGTCCAAGTAAGGTGCAAGATATTCGGAAGGGTATTTCAGCTGGCAGTGATGTATCGGTGACCTTGTTGAATTACACGTCGGATGGAACCCCATTCTGGAATCAGCTTTTTATTGCGGCTCTTCGTGATGCACAGGACGACATAGTGAATTTTATCGGGGTGATGGTGAAAGTAACATCGCCCAATCTCGGTGACGCCGAAAATGAAAAAAGTTTTGGAAGCACAGGCTGACGAAGAATCCTCGGAATCGTTGTGACGTCTCAAATCTCTCTTCTCGTTGAATGTCAATTCAAAGCGATTGCTCTGTTCCTACTGAATTGCTCTGGATTTCTCAGACTCCAAGTGGGCCTAAAAGAGTTCCATTGTGGTTTTGGGCTAACAGTCGTTACTAGCTGTTGGCCCCCAATCCCCCAGCGAAAGCGCTGGTTTCCAAGGGAGAGGCGGGACTAGGGTAATCTTAATAGCCGAAGAACGAAACAGTGAACCAATGTGACAGAAATAAATGAATATAGACTATATAAGCCTATAGTTGACTAGTTTCTGAGTTGATCGATATCAATTCAAGTAAAAATCATGCAGTGAGAAAAGCGATGATCCATCACTTTTCCACGTGAATCCTATAATGTAAAATATGTCGTGTAGCGATAGACTTACTAGGAGGATGATAAAAGTAAAGGGAAGTTGATAGACGTGCGTAAAAGGAAATCTAGAAAGTTGTGATGATGTGTGTGGTCCATCACCGATTCTGTACGTTACCGCGTACAGACTATGCGTGCGTATCTAATAGCACGGTGACCTTTATTTGGTCCCCTCAAGCTAAGGATCAAGGTGATCCATAGGTTGCTCAATAAACCCAAGAACCAAAAAGGTTTTCTCTCCTCATTTGTGTTAATCGCTTTGTAAATGCATCTGCAATATTGATTGCACCATCAATCCATGAAACTGCAATCACCCGAGCTGCCACATTCCAACGTGCATAATGATAAGCAATTGAATTGTGCTTTTTGTTCAACGTAGATTCTACCAGTGACAAGTTTTTAACAACCGCTTCATTGTCCACTAACACCTGTGTTGGTTCCTCATCCAGTGGGATCCCAAACATACGCAACTTGTAGAGTAAATGCGTAATTGCTTCAATACATGATTTCAGAGCAATGAATTCAGCCCCAAAAGTGCCCTATTCAAGAAGATGACATAGCCGGTATGCGATCTACAAGTCTTCTTGTTTGCTGCATGCAAGGCATCAACATATGCCAAGCTTCCCACTCGCCTACCTCCTGGTTTTGGCATGTTTGATGGTAATTGTTCCTCAGCATCTCTGTATAGAGTACGGAACTCTTTGTACGATGACTTGACTCCAGAAAAATCTGCGTTTGGGATTCTCCAATCAAAGTATAGGGTCATCTTTGGGTGTTGATCCAAGTAGGCAAAAATCCGCAACAATTGTTCCATGTGTCCTTCCCTTGGTCCTGCCTGGTATTGACTCAAAAGAGAAACTTCCAGTAGAATATCAACGCGTCCGATCTCCGTGGCCCACCTTAAGACCCCAATCAATTCTTGAAAGTATGTGTGGTCATGTGCGTTTAACTCACTTGAACCGTCGAGCTCTGGTGTATAATCGCTATTCATTGGAGTGACGGCTTTCTTTGGTAAGTTCCACCTCTGATTGTCTTTCAGGGTTGCTTTGACGTTCTTCACAGCAGCTGTAACATAGTCATAACTGGACATAGTCCACATGTGCTGACCGTCTAAAACCTTTCTTTTGACACCCGCTCCAAGGTAGCTTTCAGGCTGTTCAATCTTGTCCTTCTTGAATTTGAATTTGTAGCTTATCTGTTCCATAACATCTTTAGCGTTTTCAGACATGCACAAGATGTCATCCACATAACACAAAATATATTCGTAG